CACTCTTCCATTTGAGCCACAGCACTACTTCTGGTTTTGTGATGGTCAATTGGAGATAAAAGTCTTACAGACTTTCCTGCCCAGGCTCCTCAGATCTTAGCCTCCTGAGTAGCTAGGATTACAGGTGTGAACGACCAACACCCTGCTCAATTTATTCTTTCTCATCACTCAGCAGAATGTGCATTCCTGCATTTACTACTTCTCAGTCCCATTTTACTCTAAAACACCTGTAACACACAGGTGATTCTCCATATGAAAGCTCTTGATAAATACCTGGTGTGTTTTCTGTGATCCTGGCTGGAGGGACACACGCGCACACACACACACACACACACACACACGCGCACACACACACACGCGCGCGCGCGTGTGCGTGCACACACACACACGCACACACACACACACAGGCACATACGTATGTGCATGCAACTGTTTCCTATTTAATCTGCAAGGAAGTAGCAATTATTATTTCCATGTAAGGATAAGAAAAAAAATGACACAGATTTTGTGTGTGTGTGTGTGTGTGTGTGTGTGTGACTGACTGTATTAGGGCTTGAACTTATGGCTTCATGCTCTTGCTTAGCTTTTTCTGCTCAGGCTGACACTCTGCCTCTTTAAGCCACAGTTCCACTTCAGGGTTTTTAATGGTTAGTTGGAGATAAGAGTCTCATAGACTTTTCTGCCTGGCTGGCTTTGAACCATGATTCTCAAATCTGAACCTGAGGCTGGGATTGCTTTGTAAACCATATCGATCAGGGACCACAAGTAGGCCACCCAAACTAGAAGGTAGTAGATGGAGCTAGGATACAATTCTAAGTCTGGCTTCAAGGCTACCATGTTTTCTACAAAACTGTAAGGCTTCTTTCTCTAGGTATCTGTGGTTCTTCACAGACATGTTCACACTAATCACAAATAACTCACTGTAGGCATGTGCTTGCTTTCTTATCTTCTCATGTCTTATTCTGTAAGTCCTCTTCCCTGTTTTCATGCCACTGCTTGTCTACCAAGACAGTAACATTTATCCTCTGGAATGTCCACATTCTGGATTTGGCTAGCTGTTTCTTTACAGCATCATTTAATTTGGCTTTCCAACTCAAAATAGATGGAAGCAGAATCTAGTCAAACCTCTTTTTCAAACAAGAATATTTTGTCTGGATGTTATGTTTCCCACCCCAACAAATCAGGAGTCACATAATGTCTGGTTGTTCTACTGTCTATAATCCTAAGATTAATCAGTGGATTCAAAGCCTAAGCCTTTCATTATCATGAGAATTTGGAGCTGTAAGTGCAAAATTATCACTGTCTACAGTAAGCTTTGGCACAAGAGATGGCCAGCATACCCAGTGCAAAGATAAAAAATATACAAACCCTTCTCCAGAGGGAAATAATGCTTACCCAAATCTTCAAGTAAAGGAAACACTAATTAGCCCATCATACCCCTAAGAAACCTTTAGTAAGTTTGCTTCTGCTGCTCTATGTCAATTAATCAAATAGTCACAGCTTGAAAGTAGTTTCAAACTTCTATTTCTGCTTACATCCCCCCTCATCTCCCCACTTTGCACCTACCCCCCCCCAACCCCAGGTGCTGGTCCCTGAGCTTTTATTTTACTCAAGGGTAATGCTCTACTACTTGAGCCACAGCTCCACTTCCTGGTTTGGTTTTCTGTTTTTGTTTTTTTTTTGGGGGGGGGGTTGGTGCTTAATTGGAGGTAAGAATCTTATGTTTCTGCCTGATTTGGCTTCAAAACTTGATCCTCAGATCTCAGCCTCCATAGTAGTTAGGATTACAAACATAAGTCACCAGTGCCTGGCTTCTGCTTACTTAATCACGTGTGTCATGTTTGCCCATTTGAAAATGAAGACGCCACCAACATGACAATACCTCAAAAGATTATGGGGTTGGGTGAGGCCGTGCACATCTGAAATCTCAAGAGCTAAGAAGGCAAAGGCAGGAGGCTATTGAGTTCAAGGCCAGGCTGGGATACTTATTGAGATGATGTGAGCCAGTGCCAGTGACTCATGCCTGTAATTCTAGCTACTCAGGAGACAGAGGTCTGAAGATGGTGGCTTGCAGCTGGCCTAGGCAGGAAAGTTAGACTCTTATTCCAAGTAATCACAGAAAAAGTCAGAAATAGAGCTTTGACTCAAACGGTAAAGTGGTGGCCTTGAGCAAAAGAGGCTCAGGGGACAGCACTCAGGCCCAATATTCAACTGTCACAACTGGCCAAAAAAAAAAAAACTATCAGAAGGGGAAAAAGTATGAAAATTAAGAAAACTAGATTAGCTGAATTTTACCAAGAAAGAGGGGAAATGAAAGAAACAACTGAAGAGTTTTGTTGTTGGGTTTTTGTTTGGTTTTTTTGTTTTTTTGGTGTGCTAGTCCTAGGGCTTGGACTCAGGAGCTGGGCACTGGCCCTGAACTGTTGTGTTCAGGACTAGTGCTCTACCACTTGAGCCACAGCTCCACTTCTGGCTTTTCTTTTTTTTTTTTTTTCAAGTTAAACATGTTAAATTTATTCCAAGGTATTTGCCATAAGAATGTGAATGTAGGGCTGGGAAGGTGGCTCAGTGGTAGAGTGCTTGCCTTGCATGCATGAGGCCCTGGGTTCAATTCCTCAGTACCACATAAGCAAAAAGAAAAAAGCCGGAAAGTGGCGCTGTGGCTCAAGTGGTAGAGTGCTAGCCTTAAGCTGAAGAGCTGAGGGACAGCGCCCAGGCCCAGAGTTCAGGCCCCACGACCGGAACCCAAAAAAAAAAAAAAAAAGAGTCCTCCTTCTCATAGTTTTGGTATTGTGCAAGAGGAACGTCCTTCCTGACTTCTGGCTTTTCTAATAGTTACTTGGAAATAAGTCTCACAGACATTCCTGCTGGGGTTAGCTTTGAACTGCAATCCTCAGATCTCAGCCTCAGTTTACAGGCATGAGCCATTAGCATCTGGCTTAAAGAGATTATGAGTGAATCTTGCCACTAGTCTTTGGCAGATACACTAACATTCTAACCATTTACTAACCTAAAAATTGGCTGCTAATATTTCACCATTTCATAAAAGTTACATTTATATTAAGATATGATTCCTTAACAGAATTACCATATTAAATCATATCTAAAGTCCTATATAATATGGTCAGATGCCAGTGGCTCATGCCTGTATCCTAGCTACTCAGGAGGCTGAGATCTGAAGATCACTGTTCAGCCTAAGGAAAGTCTGAGACTCTGATCTCCAATTAACTACCAAAAAAAGCCAGAAGTAGAGCTGTGGTTCAAATGGTAGAGCACTAGCTTTCAGAAAAAGAGCTAAGGAACCGTGCCCAGACCTTGAGTTCAAGCTCCAGGCCTAGTACTTCCCCTCCCCCCAATAAAATCCTATATAATATGGTTCATCTTAAAATAAGGGAATCAAGTAGTAATCTTTAGAACAAACAACTGATCTGGGATCTCATTTCCCAAGCTACTGAATTACCTAAACAAATATTAACTTAAAATATGGGGACATATCGAGTTTAAACTTTCAGTCACTATTTTCATCAACAAAGTATATTTTGACACTATATGAAAAATATTTAGCATATACCAAAAAATTAACTTTCCCTCAAAGATAAAATGCAATAACACTATTAATAAGATAGCTTTATATAAACTATTCTTAGCCACATTTTTACGTGCTTGTGTGTTTGTGCATGGCGCACACATACGCATGCATGCCAGTACCAGGGCTTGAGCTCAGGGTGTTGGGATCTTTTGCAGCTTATTTTTCTCACAGCTAGAGATCTACTACCTGAACCACACCTCCAGTCCAGTATTATTACTAGCTATTTGCAGATCAGATGCCAGCCTCCTAAGAAGCCAGGATTACAGGTGTAAGCCAGCAGTGACCAGTGGACACACATGATTTCATACAAATGTGTGGGCAGGGATGGGAAGGGGAACTGGGGGAAAGCAAAAGGAGGGTAAGTCGTAACTTATGAAATGGTAACCTTTTCATATAACCCCTTAATAACAATAAAATTATCTTTTTTTTTAAATCCAGACAAATCCCTCTCAACTATCAAAGAAATCTTTTAATCGAGTTTGCAGTTTGATGAGGGCTCTGGCTTAGCAGCTCATCAAATGTCACTTTAGAAGACTAATCTGAAACAAAAAACTAGTGATGTTTACAAAAACAAAGGCCTGGGAGTTTTCTAGTACCACTTCTCCAAGGTAGATTTAAGACCCTTCAGCTTTCATGGTCTGGAAGAGATTACAGTCATTTTCCCTGATCTCTTCAACTACTGGTGTCCCAGATTCTGACCATGACATCATTATTATGCTTGGAAAATTGCTGACATGAACTATTCAATTGTGCTACTTAGTTTACATTTATTCACAATCTCTACAGGCCACCATCTGAGCAAAAGGAAGCAGAACAACATTTTAGAATAAAATATAAGTAGCTGGTTATTTGTTTTTTTAAAAACTAGCCAGCCAGGCACTGATGGCTCACAAATGTAATTCTAGCTATTCGGAAGGCTTTGCAGTTCAAAGCCAGCCTAGACAAGAAAGTCAATGAGACTTATCTACAATTAACCAGAAAAAAAGCCAGTAACAGAGCTCTGATAGAAAGGCAGCCGATAGCCAAAAATAGCTAGGGTACAGCGCCAAGCCCTAAGTGTAAGCCCCAGCATAAAAATAAAAATACTTGCCAAAGAGATTTTCATATTTAAATATAATTGGTACACTCACTAGAAAAATTCAAATCCAACAAGATCCTGTCTGGATTAGACTGAAAAAGACAATTCAGCAATTCAAGACACTATGTCAACTTAAGTAAAAAGACTATTTCAACTTAAAATTCAAAGAAAAGTGTGTGTGTGTGTGTGTGTGTGTGTGTGTGTGTGTGTCTATATGAGAGAAGGATTTTGTGTTGTAACTCTAACAGTTGGGAGAAAGCGTTGGATAAACTATTAGAAATAGGGTCAAGTGATTAGATCTTAACTTTAAATATACAAATTCTTAATTCTTACCTCCCACTGTAAGTGAGGTGGGATATTTCGGATCTGAAGTTTCCGAATCCTGTAGAAAAAAATTTTAAAAAATTTTAAGAAACAAGACATTCCAAACAAAACACATACATCAGTAGCCACCCCCAACCCATCCACTCCCCTCCCCCATGGAAGTTAGGAGCTATTAAAATACTAATCTTATTATTAACTACAAATGCAAATACACACACATATACATATGTGTGTCTGTCTGTCTGTCTCCCAAATGTAGCTCCAGGAAAAAAGTTAATCACGAAATGCAGAATGCTACCATTTGGAGAGCTGGCATTATTGGATTGTTGTGACATATTTTAAAAGCCATGATAACTGGTGCATATTTGAAGGGGGGATTTCATCAGATGACTATATTAAAAGTTCAAACTCTCTTTCCTCAAATTAAGTCTCCTAAGACACAAAGACTCCGTCCAGATGTTTTTTACTCTGAGATCACAGCCAAGGACCAGAGGAATTCAGAGAACGCAGAACTGGGATGGAGGAGGGGGAGAGGAATTACACATTTATTTATTTTCACTATCCCTTTACTAAAATTCAACACTTTCTTGAATTATAACTGTTGGCATCAAGTCACACAGAATTATAGCACTTGAAATTTTTATGTGAATATAAATCAGATATTTTCATGCCACACTAAGTTGTTGCCGATATTTAAATATCAACACTCATTGCTGTTAAGTTTAGATGTATTGCTAAAACTTGTTACTTCTGCTAAGAAGGACATATTTCTCTAAGTTTTTAATTTGCTAGCTGCATTTTGGTAAGATTTGTTCTGTTGATAAGCTTATGTACTTCATGCACTTAAAAATACCCTAGGGGGTTTGTTAGTTTGAGACTACCACAAGAATCCACAGCACGCGCGCGTACACACGTACACGTACACACACACACACACACACTAAAGATTCTTCACCTCAGTTAAAATGCTCACATATATACATGTGGATTTGTGAAGGAAAAGAAATAACTCACTGAGTATGTGAGATTGTACTACAGATACCACAGGCCAAACAATCCCTTAGAAGGGGAAGGAAATTTAGAGTCAACTATTAAAAACAACAACAATGCCAGTAGAGCACCTAAATATTAGTAGGGAGGCCAATGCAGGGGATCTCAAGTTCAAAACCAAGTAAGGCAAGGCAGACATTAGTAACAATAAATTATCAATACCAACTTAGCAATTGGCTTTGACATCTCAAGTGGAATAATTAGATTTCTTAACTTAAAAATTACAACTGTAAGCCAGGTGCCAGTGGCTCACGCCTGTAATCCTAACTACTCAGGAAGCTGAGATCTGAGGATCATAGTTCAAAGGCAGCCCAGGCAGGCAAGTCCGTGAGACTCTTACCTCCAATAAACCACCACAAAACCAGAAGTGGTGCTGTGGCTCAAGTGGTAGAGCACTCATCTTGAGCTGAAGGGTTCAGGACAGCACCCAGGCCCAGAGTTCAATCCCCACGACTGACCACCCCCCCCCAAAAATAAAATTACAACTGTTGTGAACTTTTTTGAAATTAACCCAGAGAAACATAGTCTAGGTTCCCAGTCTGGACCATGACTCCATCCTGCTCTCTAAAACCAAGAGAATAATGGCACTGTTCTCATAAACCAAAACTGTTTGTAATCAAAATGGACCAGGAAAGACAGATACTGTGTGTGTGTGTGTGTGTGTGTGTGTGTGTGTGTGTGTGTGTGTGTGCATGTGTGTGCATGTGTGTATTACTAGGATTCGAACTCTGTGCAGATCAAGCTTCTATCTTGCTAGGGATGTGTCACTTAAATCAGCTCTATGACACAGTGAAACAAAGCAAATCATCAAGAGATAAGTATATCCAAAAAGGGGTAAGAAGAGCCTTGATTTGGGGGGAAAAAATTTTCCAACCACCCACCACCTAGTTAGAATTTGCAGATGAGATAGTAGTTTGGGAAGCTTCTAAAAATAATTTATGCTCATAATCATTAATGAAGTAAAACAAGTACTAACACAGAGATTTCCAAGCTGCTGTATATGGCTTCAGCTAACATACGTTACTAACACTGTAAATATTTACCCCAAGCAACTAATGAGGTAAGAAGTTTTGCTATACATATGCAAATATAAATCTATTTTAATCATGCATCTGACAACATGAGAACTGGCAACACAGTACTAAAAAATGAGGTATTCACCACAACTGGCCTCATTTGGGCAAGTACATATATACTATCAAAAGAATTTCCCCAAAGTCCCATGTAAATGTACATTAAAAAGTTCAAGTCCACTAGCAGATGATTAATCACAAAAATAAATATCCACTACTGAGGCTTCCAAGAAATCTTTAAATAGGATCATATCTTTTGTACATTAAAAGCAATCCAAAGATTGGCTATAATCCTAGCTCCTTAGAAGGCAGAAAGAAGTAGGATTTTGGTATAAAGCTGGCCCCAGACAAAAAAGCATAAAGGGCTGAGAGGCATGGTTCAAGTGGGACAGGACCTGCCTAGTAAGAGTAAGGCCCAGAGTTCAAACCCCAGCACCACAGAAAAGAAAAAAAATCCAGGGGTGGGAAGATGGCTCAGTGGTAGAGTACTTGCCTCACATGCATGAGGCCCTGGGTTCAATTCCTCAGCACCACATAAGCAGAAAAAGCCGGAAGTGACACTGTGGCTGAAATGGTAGAGCACTAGCCTTGAGCTGAATTGCTGAAGGACAGTGCCCGGGGCCAGAGTTCAGGCCCCACGACAGACCAAAATAAAAATAAAAATCCATTAACTGTGTTTCCTATAAAATGTACATTCAACATTCACTTATTGGAATTGGCCCCAAAACAATTATTTCCTTTAAATAAATGACTCATTTCTATTATTTCATTTTAGACAAACAGAATTATTTCTATATAGCTAGTATTTTGGCATTTCTATACAGCTAGTGTTTTTCCTACTACTCTTACCTTTCTACTTCTGGTTCCTAACTCTACTCCAAAAGGCTCCACAAGGAAAGAAATCAACCCAAAGACATAAAATATACTCAGGCAGCCAAAAACGCAACTTCTGCTAAAGCAGAGAAGGCAAGAAACTTAGAACCCAACACAATTAAACACAGTCAAAGAAGTTACAACTAAACATGATCAACTTGCCACTTCTTTTACCATCTTCCACCTGACCTTTTTTGGATTAAGGTTATAAATACTTGAGTCAAGAAAGTAAACATTGTTTCTAATACACTATAAATCCTGAAAGTTCAAGTCAACAATAGTTAAGTTTCTTACTTCCTCCAGCAACATACATAGTAATAAATAGGATGTATATATTTCATAACAAAAAAACTATTTACAAAAACTCACCAGGTGCTTGTGGTTCAAGCCCATAATTCTAGCTATTCATCTCTGAACAGGATCTCAAGATAGCGGTTCAAAACCAGCCCAAGCAGACAAATCTTGGAGACTCTTATCTCCAATTAACCAGTAAAAAGCCCAAAGTGAAGCTCTGGCTCAAGTGGTAGAGTGCCACCAACAGCCTTGAGCAAAAAAGCCAAGTGAGCTTTTTTGGTAGAAGGTATTGAGTTACTTAGAACCTTCCATCAAACAACCCCTTTTCCCCTTACCTTATTTCTGTCATCCTTTTTTTCTATCAACACATACACATCAAGTGGGAATCCCTGCTTTCACACTTAATCAGCAAAAGACACTGAGGCTCCAGTTGTGATCTAATGCTGCTAACATGAGTTAAAAACAAGAAGAGAAAAACTAAGTCTCATGGGCAACTTGTTCCCTTTAACTTATTTTACTATGCAAAGGGATGGGGCCCAGGTCACATCTGGACAGGTTGTTTTTAAATATAAAGACAAACCATGTAGACTGAGAGCAATAAAGTGTGTCCTCTCCCACCCACTTCTTAGTAGCACTTTGTCCTGGCTACAAAATGTTATTCCAGCTGTGCAATCTATACCCAAAGAGGAATTTACTCAGCCTGGCTAAATCTAATACTGTCACATTATGATTATCCCTATTCTTTCATTTATTCCCTTCACGTGTTATACAGTTAAGAATTATAGTTCCATTTTTGAAGTCCAGTAATCCAAGTAGATAAAAGGTGGGAGAAATGACCAGTATCATATTCTCATCCATGTCACCAAGAATAACTTTGCCTTAGTGCTAAGTTGGGAGTGTCTTATCAAATTCTCAACAAAAGATGTCATTTAAGGATTTTTCTTCCTTCTATCATTTCCTTATGCTCAAGGCTTAGCTTTATATTTGTAGATGAGGGAGAAAATTGGGGGAAAAAAAGAGGCAAGAAAAAGGGATTTGTTAGCTAGGAACCAATGGCCTACACCTCTAATTAGCTACTTACAGGAGGATGAGATTGGGAGGATCATGGTTCAAGGCCAGACCAGGTAGAAAAGTTCCTAAGACCCCCTTCCTAGTTCATAGCTGGGCACTGTGGCCTGTGCCTATCATGGTAAACTACTTGAGAGGCTGAAATTAGGTCACAGTTTCAGACCAGCCTGGGCAGAAGAGTCAGAGACTATGTCAATGGAGGGGTCATTCCTGCAATGATGAGAAGCCTAAAGTAAATTGTTCTTGGCCCAGCAGTGTGCCCAGGAAACCCTATCCTAAAAGTAATCAGTGAAAAACAGAGCTGGAGATGGGGCTCAATTCAAGAGCACTTTACACAGCAAGTAGGAGGTCCCAAATTCAAACCCTAGTACTACAAAAAAAAAAAAAAAGGAGGGGAAGGGGGAGAGATTTGCAAAATACACTATAATGTTTACAATAAAATCTTATGCATGTTATAAATGTGAGTTAATAAGGACATATCTTTACATGACTCATTGAATGCAGAGCACAAATAGAACATCAAGCGCCTCATTATAAAATGTGTTCTTCCACAGAATCTCCAAGCAAGAAAAGAAAGTGTGTATGTACACACATACATACTCACACATGTACTCACACAAAAATAAGGGGGAGAAACACAACATTAAATAATGATGACACCAAGCTCTGGCTAGTAGAATCATGAGCAATTTTCAACTTT